TCCCCCTGGTATAGGTTATTCCTTTTGCCAACGTCATTTATGCTAATGGCAGATTGAAACTGTAAATAACATTTCGTAATTATTTTTACCTGTATGTATGGGCATTTAGTTCCTCTTGAGAAAAGTTCCCAGTTTAGGGGAGTCTCTTACACAGGAGCCCCATTCAGAGTGTGATGGGGGTTAGCGGGCCAAGTATCACTTTCCCTTGTTTGTTACTGCCCTTTGATGTGCATTGTTTCTCACCATCTCTTTCTTCTAAACTCTTTCAAGGACTCATATATTTTAGTTGTCTCTTTCCAAATATTTACATTTTAATACAATTAAAGAAGTTATATTAGTTGTACTTTTTTGATATGCATAAGACTTAGACTGGGGGACCCTTAGTTCAACATGTAAGGTTTGCAAAGCAGGGTAACCAGAGATCTGAAAATAGAATCATTGACAAGTATATGCTAAGGGATGATTGATTTTCAGTTGTTTAATAATAAATATTTATGGACTGTTTGGGAACATAAACTATGTCAGTTGTCCTTTGCTTTTCCTTAGAAACTAGCATCTAGGGCCGAGCCTGTGGCGCACTTGGGAGAGTGCGGCGCTGGGAGTGCAGCAGCCGTGGGTTCTGATCCTATATAGGGATGACCGGTGCACTCACTGGCTGAGCGCGGTGTGGCCGGTCTCAAAAAGGACAAAAAAAAAAAAAAAGAAAAAAAAAAGAAACTAGCATCTAGAACTGAGTATTTGATGGTACCTAGCAAATGCTTGTTGATTAACTAATGTTTGTACTGATTATGAATTTGCACTTAGGTGTAAAGTAGTTAAATGGACTATGATGCAAGCATTTAACCTTCATATAAGTTTAAATGTATCCTCTTGAATCTATTTCTCAACTTTCCTAAATGGATTACTCTTGTTTTTCTGTATGTGTCAGAAATGTAACTAACATTCAAATGGCTCTACGAAAATTTTTATTGGACATCTCTTCTACCTGGGTTTTCATCCATTAGTTTTACATGATCATAGAAAAGCAGTCAATGGGCAAAATATTTCATAAAATCAGCAAGAAAATTAGTGTATAAAGCTTATTGTTAATCTGATTGTAAACAAAATGTTACACTATTGCTTTATAAAAATTTGATAGGAGTGCTAAACAAAAAAGGTAACTGTTCTTTAGGATTTATTAAGGGACACATGGTAATTTCAAAGTAGAATTTTGATTTTTTTTTAACTACTTGTTATATTTAGCAATTTTAATGATATTATTTAGAAATTGCATTATTCTAAAATTGTAGTATCAAAGGTGATACCTTCCCTGGAACGCATGAATCCACAAAGCTCAATATCTTGCTCACAGTAAGAGCTTAATTAATATTTGTTGATTGTATCAAAAGACTCAATTTCATATTATTTTTATCAACATTAACTTACATAATGCAAAATCAAGGACATCAGTAATGGCCTAATTTGGTTGGTTCCCATTCAGTATGCAGCATAAATGAAGCAGATATTTAAGATGTTGCTAGAAATGAATCGATACTATTATGTTATAAAACTGATAGATATGTAGATTATTGTTAGAGTGAATCTATACCCTGATGCAGCTTCCTCAAGTTGTAATGTTAAACATTTTCCCTCAGAGGAGGGAGGGAGGTTTCGGTAATGGGCCATAATAATCAACCACATTGTACATTGACAAAATAAAATTAAATTAAAAATAAAAAAGAATAGGGAAAAATTTTTTTTTCCCTCATAAGTTTAGATTCCAATAGCAGTCTGTTAGATAGCAGATCTCCGTGCTGCACATCTGATCATACAGCACATCAGTGTCCTCTCGCTTTCCTCTAAATTTGCAGGTCTTCTAAGGAATATTAAGATTTTCTTGGTTCTCTGGCTCCAGATTCCTAATAAGATCATTTTACTGACTGACTGCAATCCAGCAGTCAGGACCAGTTGGAATTAAGAATGAATTATTGTTGTTACTATTAGGATTTAATGCTACAATGGAAGAAGGACAATTTCTATAACCTTCATATTTAGTGCTACTTTTTCTTTTTTTACATTTAGTGCATCATTCACAATCATTTTTGGATAAGTATCCTATTATAATAAAGTATATAAATTACTTATTTAACACAGGCAGAGAAACTATAATGTAAATCATTCCATATTCCATCCTGATATTCAAAAACAATTACAATTAGTGTCTGAGATTATTTATGAAATAACATTTTGTAGTGTGACTTGAGTCTATATGATATGTATAAAACAGTGCCTTTCAATTTGCATGTGGACAATTTTTAATTATTCAGTATTGAAATTAGAATATTGTCTGCGTAAAACAAATGGTATATGGAAGCTAATAATTGGCACCATGTGCCAGCTGCTAAACTGCGTTTTGTTTAAGCTTTACTACTGTGCCTAAAGACTAGAATCCTTGTTCTGAACATGAAGGAACTAATGTTTACTCCATGGGGAGGTAGCAATGTTTGGATTAATATGCATTTCTAATGACTAAAATCTATGTTCTTTCCATCTCATCATTCTGCCTCTGAAGAATATCATTTTAAGGGTATTTTATTTCAAATTTGGGAGCATATGAATCATCTCGTATGTCTAATTCTACTGATACTTAGGAAACCTAGTTTAGCCATGCCAACCTTTGTCAGTTACTAACCTCTTTGACCTCAGTTTCCTTATATGTATTAGACAACCAGATATCTAAAATCCCTTTTTGTTTTAAAATCGTACACAGCTGTAAGTTAACAATTTCTTAAAGATTATTAATTTATACATATTCATCTCCAGTAGACTTCTTTTTAGAGAGTTGTTATGAGGATAAAAAATAATATGGGTAAGGCAGTTAATGCAATGATTGGCACATAACTGGTGCTCATAAGCTTTTATCTATCGTCGTCATAATTTTTTATTGTCATCATAATCCCTACTGTTCGTAGATGAGACTGTTGGACACAGAGAGGTTAAATGATTTGCCCAAAGCCACACAGCTGGTTAGTAGCAGAACTTAAAGAAAATGAAAACACGGTTAGTCGATTACGTACAAATGAGAAACATTTATCCTTTCAACAACTTTAACAGAAAGATTTCCAGTCCTCTCTAATAAATGCAATGGCAAGGATATACTTTCAATGTCTTTTGGAAATGCTTTTACTGCATAGTTTTCTACAGGCATCTCAGACTGCTGCAATAAAATGAGTATCTCAATAAAGCAAGTCATATGAAGTTTTTTGTTTCCCAGCATGTAAAAAAATTATGTTTAAATTCTATTGTAGTCTACTAGGTGTGCAATAGCTAAAAAAAGAGCATACCTCAATTAAAAATAGTTTATTGCTAAAATATACTAACGATCATCTGTGCCTTCAGTGAGACATATATAACATAAGAATTTTCATTTTAAGCATTTCTAAACATTTGTTTAAAAATGTTTGCCCTGGAATTAATTACATTCACAATGCTGTGTAACCATTACCTCTGTCTATTTCCAAAACTTTTTTGTCACCCTACACATAAACTCTGTACCCATTAAGCATTAACGTCTCATTCTCCTCCCTTCTGCCTCCCGCCCCGGTTTCTGGTAACAGTAATCTACTTCTGCCTCTGAAAACTTTTTTCTTTTTAATTATTTTTTCTTAATTGACCCATGATAATTGTATATATTTATGAAGTACAGTTTGATGCTTGGGTACATTTACATGTGCAATGATCATATCAGGGTGTTTAGCATACCCATCACCTCAATCATTGTGTCACCTCTTTGTTTTGGGAAGATTCAATATCCTCTCAACTAGCTACTTGAAGTTACACAGAAATTTGTTGTTGGCTGTAGTCTCTCTGTATTTCTATGGAACACTAGATCTTATTCTTCCTATCTCTGCAATTTTATCTCCATTGACCACCCTTTCTCCATCCCCTCATCACCACCTCCCCAAGCAACCACTGTTCTACTCTCTACTTCTGTGAGACCATATTTTTTTTTTAGCTTCCACGTATGAGTGAGAACATGTGGTATTTCTCTTTCTGTGCCTGGCTTATTTCACTTAGCATTATTTTCTCCAAACATCCATGTTGCTGCAAATGGCAGAATTTCATTATTATCCACAGCTGAGTAGTATTCCATTGTGTATATATATCACATTTTCTTTATACAGTCATCCATTGGTGGACATTTATGTTGGTTCCAACTCTTGGCTATTGTGTATAGTACCATGATAAATATGGGAGTGCAGGTATCCCTTTGACATGATGATTTCCATTCCTTTAGGTATATACCCAGTAGTGGAATTGCTGGATCATATGGTAGTTCTATCTGTAGTTCTTGAGAAACTTCCACGCTGTTTTGCATAAAGGCTGCACCAATTTACAGTCTCACCAACGGTGTAGAAGGTTTCCTCTTTCTCCACATCTTTGTCAGCACTTATTATTCTGTGTCTTTTTGCTAATAGCCATTCTATCAGGGATAAGATGATATCTCATCGTGGTTTTGATTTGCAGTTCTCTGATTAGTGTTATTGAGCATTTTTTCATATACCTGTTGCCTTTTGTATGTCATCTTTTGAGAAATGTCTATTCAGATCATTTGCCCGTTTTTATGACCTATGGCTTTTTAATCACTGTATAAAAAGGACGTTCCTATCACATTTGTTAAAAAGCAACAAAATTTACTTAAAGTTCTATATGTTCCAAAAACAGGACAGAATTTTATTTTTGGCTGCACAATAAATGGTATAGAATCGCTCTCTTTTTTTTCCTCATTAGAAGAATATTTAGACATTTCTTAGTAAAAAAAAAAAAAAAAGTTTGCCTCTCTGAATCAAAACTACTGGAAATTCATCTCTTAGAACTTAATAGATTTAAGAAAAAAAGAAAAAAGAAAAATGAAGGGATTGGAGTCTGTGTATTCTTGGGTTATATGCTTGAATGGGATCAGCACACTCTCTCCCTCATCATTACGCCACTTCTGAGACCTTGTTTGTTTCTTCTCTCAGAATGGACTCAATGCTCTCCATCTGGCTGCCAAGGAAGGCCACGTGGGTCTGGTTCAGGAGCTGCTGGGAAGAGGGTCCTCTGTGGATTCTGCCACTAAGGTAATGCTCATGCTAGTAGAATTTATTTTCCTTAGGAAAGAAGAAATAATTTAAAGCTGCTTTTCCTGGTTGTATATTTCCAAGGTTTGCTGGAACACCAAGATTCCTAACCATGCTGAACTAAAATTGAAACCATAAACATTAAACTTAGCAGAGTTTGAATTGTTTTGTTTAAGGACTTACCAGACATGAGACTGAAGAAATCTGTAAACCTAGTTCCCAGTATTTTGTCTTTCCTTCTTTGATTCACATAGAGGACTAGATTAACGCAATCCTTTGTAGATAATAGCACCTATTTTCCTAAGGTTAATTCATTTTTTAAAAAATAAGTTGACGTGGTAAACTTCTCAATGGAAATGAACGATTAATTTTCATGCTTCAATTAAATTGATATATCCTTTAATGTATTCATTCAATTTGGCAAGAGAATATGCAGAATCCTTTATAATCTAATGGTAAAGAGATTTTGGATCACAGATTCAATTATTAGGGCAAAATTAGGTTTTATCAATATAATGTGTGTTTGTGAAGTAATTAGATTCATTTTTAAAGAAATGTACAAGTTACTTGGTATACCAGAAACTTGCTCCCTTGTTGATCCTTTTAAACTGTTGGGGATTCATCTCATAACAACAGACATTTAAAAAAATATTATCAGGGCCGGCCCGTGGCTCACTCGGTAGAGTGCGGTGCTGATAACACCAAGGCCACAGGTTCGGATCCTATATAGGGATGGCTGGTTTGCTCACTAGCTGAGCGTGGTGCTGACAACACCAAGCCAAGGGTTGAGATCCCCTTACCGGTCATCTTTTAGAAAAAAAAAATTAAAAAAAATAAAAAAATAAAAAATATTATCAATGGTGACAAATCTTTATCTTTTGAAGGTGAAACTTTTTTCAGAAATTAGTGTAGTCAGTCAGAGCCAAGCCAGTTGATCAGAGCTGGAGTGTGATAATATGGCTGGGGGAGATGCAGAGAAGTCAGACTATCAAGCCTCTGGACAAAAAAGAATGTGGGAATAAATTAGAAATATGGCAGCTAATGTGGATTTCCAACACCTCATGCATAACTGCCAAAATGTACATTGGTCCTGCTTATAGTATAGTAAACAGCAATTCTAGAAGAAATTTAAAAAACGAAAACAAACAGACACTGTCTGGCAATTACAAAGAAGTTAAAATATAAGTTCACTGTATGCAATAAATTCCTTACTTTGAACACAAAAGAGAATAAACATGTTGATTAATATTTCACTTGAGCACATCAAGTAAGTGTTGAACAAATATTTAAAGAATGTCAATTTGAATGTAGATGAAATTACTTGCCTTCTCTGAGTTTCCCATATTAATATAGTATGTTTATTAAACCTACCACCTTTCGGTTGCTTAAGAATTTATTATTGTTTTCATTTTTCCTTTTCTTTAAACTCTATTGATATTTTAAAATATAGGTTTACTTTATTTATTTATTTATTGTTTTTTTTATATTTTTTTTTGTCGATATACATTGTGGTTGATTATTGTTGCCCCTTACCAAAACCTCCCTCCCTCTTCCCTCTCCTCCCTCCCACCCAACAATGTCCTTTCTGTTTGCTTGTCGTATCAACTTCAAGTAATTGTAGTTGTTATATCTTCTTCCACCCGCCCCCCGGTTTTGTGTGTGTGTGTGTGTGTGTGTGTGTGTGTGTGTGTGTGTGTGAATTTATTTATTTATTTTTAGCTCCCACAAATAAGTGAGAACATGTAGTATTTCTCTTTCTGTG